GTAATTCGGTTTAAGGGCCAAAATTCACATTGACCAAATATATATGCTTAGTCAAAGTCACTTTCATAAGTTATCCTGTCTTTTTGGACTTTTACCCACTTCAAGGTAAAATGAAAGAATACATAAATATTCTTGAAACTGAGACTCTTGAAACTGAGTTATCTAGATCCTGTTTAGGTGATAACTGGCAGAGTCAACTCTGTTCACAATACCCTGTTTCTTCAAATATAAGACAAAGATCAAGAGACCCAGCCAGATGGGCATCCAAATGCTTCTGAGTTGTTACCCTCACCCCTACCCAAAGGATGGGGGGGATCATACTTTTGTATTTGTTGTGGTGAGTCCAAAGTTGCATGTGGCAGTGGGCAGTGCTTACAAGCCAAACTGACTCAACAAGATATTACACAAGTCAAGTGTTACCAATACCAAATACAAAAGTGCCTTTCATATAGTACATAGGTCAGTGGTTCCCAAACTTGTTTGGTGATGAATCAAAATTCAACATCCAAACCCTGGGTTGTGACCCAGGGTTTCCACTTATTGATATATGAAGCTACATATACAAGTGCATAAATGGTTAAGGCACAAGATCCAAATGAGGCTTAGTCAAGCATTAAATATATCTAAGCAACATTCCATGATCTCCATCCAAGAGCTATCACGTTTGAGGGATGGGCTCCTGTATATATGATCATGTACCCAATTGAAGAATAGTGGGGTGCTCACTTGGCACAAACACCACAGCTCAATCACTGTCCCTTAGGCTGAGACATCCCTCTATGATCCTGTAGGAGGCCTTAGGGGCAGCTCATGGGTTGCCTATGCCCATGCCTGGTATGAGTGGTTTTTAAGGTGTACTACACCTGTATCTCCTAGACATGGCACACAGTGCAACATGTGTTATCCCATGCTAAGGAGGCACTCCCCATGAGAGCAGGGGTGGGTCACCTGCAACAGAGGAAGAGCCCACAGGCATTCTCTCAATAGCAGTCATTAAAAATTAGATTATCAGAATATTATAATAACTCAATTTCATTACTTCCCATAATGTAATGATCCCTAACCCATCTCTCAAGCATACACTGTCTTCAGATTGAATATGTATCCTCCACCTAGTGGAGGATGGAGAACAATTTCTAGAAAATTCTGTTTCATTAGGTGATAGACATAGCAACATCTTACATGTGGGTGGCTATCTACAATCAATGGAATCACTCCAATGGGGGGGGGAGAGAACAAATTCATTCCAAAAACTGTCCTTGGCACCAGGGGCCTGACAGTCCAACTTGTACTATGTTCTAGCATTGATCCAAACTCTCCATCTTCAATCTCTTTGGTCAAGACTTGCATCAAGATGGAGATGTGGGGAGCATATTTTGAAACCTTACTCGCATTCGAACCCTGGGACCGAACAGCCAATCAAATGCTTGCCAAAGTAATTATAGGAAAATGGTGATTTACATGTTAATACAGGTTCCAGCACTACCTGAAATCGAAAGTGAGTGGCCCTAGCAAGTACTTGCCTAGTGTAACAGGGCCTTTAGGTGTAGGTTTGCATGAATTTTTGCAATTAATAAGAGTGTTAATCATTTCAGGAATGGCAAAATTGTTTACGAACTCAAATCTCAGATCTGCAGTGTTGGATCCTTTTATATTTGCAGCATAGCCTATTTAATATCTTAAACTTTCCAAGGTGTCCTTTCCCAGAATGATTGTAGGAAACTAAAAGGACAATGATGGAAAATTCATTGGGGAATAGGACCAAATGCATAAAATAAACCACGCCAAGTGATTCCGTAATTTGATTAATTAACCAAGAATGATTAGAAACAGGCAGGAAAAAATGTCAAAGCTGAATACTAAAAATGTCCAAGGAAGAACATGCCTTTTGTGACCAAGAAACATGGTGTGGAGTTTTAGATTGTATGTGATTGGATGTGATAAATTACTTACCCAGGGACATTGACAAGGAAGCATCTTCATGCTCTTTCTTCCAGCTTTTATTGGACATCAAAGAAAAATGATACATTAAGGCAAGCAACTCCAACATATAATTATGCCAGAACATGATGATCAATGAATGCTAAGAGAGCCAGACTAAGCAGGCGAGTGCCATTCAATGACCTGAGAGCAACCCATTTTCCATGCATTCTGGTACATTCTCCTGACTACTTTTTATCACTGGTAGGTGATAAAATATATTTTCCCTCTGAAAATGTATTTCGGTCCTTTAGGCAATATGGGGTGAATGCCAAAGTCACAAGTTGTCCAATAAAGCCATGTTACCAAATGTGCATTATCATTGAAAATGTAGTCGCTATAAACTAGTACAAAGACTCACATTCCTCACTTGCCTTACCTTCAATCTCCTGATGCTTCATAAAAAATGACAATTGGTCACTAAGCTAATTGAAACCTAGGCCTATTTTCGCAAGTCTTCATTAGCCATTGTGTGACCAATGTTTTCCTATGTTGGATAAGCCTAGTGTCATGGTGGGGGCAGTTTGGAAAAGGTTGACCTGCGTTGAGCTGTCCAAGTTAAGTGAGAAAACCGTAGGTCCAAATTCTTTTCGAACTCTGCTATACGTTCAGCGACATGTTCATTTCATAAGTTGTGCCTGATTCGCTTGAACTTACAGCGGCTACGGGGGTAGCCATGTTCCCCACCATGACGTCATGGTGAAGTTTGATTGGTTGTTCCGATCCCTGTGTTCGAACACGAGTAAGGGTTCAAAATATGCGTCCAAGGAGGACACTACCCTCGCCGCGCGCGGCCCAGGCAATCTTCAGCCATGCGTTTTCTTAGTCTCTTGGCTTGGCCTGTGCGAAGTCCATTCTTTTGTGTAGTTCGATCCACGGTTTTGAAACGGGGTTGGTTCATCTAGTCTCGTCATCCTAGTACTACTGTCAGTCCCCCGTGTTGCTGTGCATGTTTTGCCATCGACTCATGCTGGAGTTGTACTACCATAGGTTAGGTCTTTAGGCCTAATTTAACGTCTGACTCAGGATGACTCTCATCAGAATTCCAGTTTGCATTCATTATCAAGAACAATTGGCATATAATTTTCGGGCTAACCCTTTCCACTCTCCCATTAATCTACTCGAATTTATTTTGCAAAAATGCAGACATGGTTGCTGAAGGTAAAAGGGACCACTTGAATTCTTAGCAAGTAATTAATTACATAATACTTGAAATAGGGATCAGAGACCGATACAATGGGTGGATTTTTCAACAGAGAACTATCCAATAATGCAGCTTTATTCCAAGGAAAATATATTTCTTGGAAATAAAGCAACTTAATCGGATAGTTCTCTGTTCAAAAATCCATCCTAAATGACTTCGAAGAATGTGTCAAGTCATCCACGACGTACCAGCTCCAGTAAGCGCAAGTAACATTCCAGTTCAACATACGAGTGGAAAGGGTTAAGCCTAGGCCTTTAAACACGATCAACAAGACCTACTCTCGAACGAGGTCCTCAGGCGCGTGCAGGTTCGAGGAGAGGGGATGGGCGTAAGGCGAATGGGAGCGTGAAGGCGTCGTCTGCTTCGCTGGAATAGAGCTTTCTCACTGACGTCACAAGACGTTTAACAGAGGGGCGGAGTGCACATCCGTCATGCTGGAGTACTGGAGAGCGGGGGTTACGACTGACGGCCCTATGTTACGGGTGTAGCCTCATCAAGTCAGCGTCATGATTACCTATTTTGAGGCTCAGAAAGGTACGGGAAAAGACCGTTATCTGGAAATGATGTGCGAAAACTGTGATCCCTACGAGCTGAAGTTCTGTGATGGTGGTGGATGGTGCCAAGTTCTGGCCTAAAATGCGATGCGTTCCATTTTTCGCAATAGCGCCTACTAGTCATGGCGTGTCTGTGCAATGTCATCGTGTGGTATCTTTTCAAGGGAAAGTCATAGCGTTAAAGGGTTGTTTCGAAAAGAAGGTCTAAGAAGGAAGAGACTCCACGGAACTGAGTCCACGATTCCACAGGAAATTCAAACTACAGTATTGACTTCTTTCACCCGTAATTACGCGTGGAGCATCACACGCCATCAAATTCAGGTCTTACCTTCTCACCTGAGGCCCAACGACACGACCCAATCTAGAATCCTCTGACGAGGACACTTGTTTTGGGCTACCTTCCTAATCATGGAGTTAGATATAGGCCTGTAGGGACACCACTCAACACATTTGTGAAGCAGCATACATCATCCTTTCTGCAGGTCCGTCACTCTCAGAGACTCAGGGAACCACCTTTGCAAGTGTGGGTTCTTGCTCAGACTTGGATCGACAGAAGAAATTCACCCTAGTTAAGCGAAATATCACTGTCGTTCTTGCCAAACTTAGTCTGCCTGTACTCCAGCATGGCGCGGAGGCTGTGTCTCCCGATCTGTGACGTCATGAGAAAAAGCCCTATCGGGATCTGTTTTAAGTAAAACTCCTTCCCATTCAGTGTTACATGCGAATATGCAAATTATACACGTGTCAAATTACTCCTCAGACATTCCCGATTTGTACGCGAACCGGGATTTTTAAGAATCGCAGAGGGTCAAGGCAAGCCCCAGACATTCATGATATAGGCCTGTTTAAATCATAAGGATAAAAAAAGAACTCACATTGCTGTGAAACTTGGGGAAACCACTCTCAGGAACTGTATCTAACATCGCATCCTCGATAGTTCCCAAGGAAACGCGCCAGAGGCTGGAAACGGAAAATTTTTAGTTTTTCGTACTTTCTTGAGTTACGCAAAGAGATAATTTAATGAAACTTCGCACAAATATAGAGGAGGAAACGCATAAATTCACATATGCTCTTCCTGATGCATTGATTTTTACCCCGGTTATGGAGGTGCAAAGGCTTTGCTGGAATTGCTTTTCACATTACCACGCCCGTAGTAGCGAATTCATAAAAGCATCATAAAGAGCTATATTTAACGAAGAAAATGGTGCAAGTTTCAGCAATTTCGGTGAAGTGTTTGAGGAGATAACGACTTTCGATGAGGAATGGGTCAGCTGTGACCTTTGACCTTATTTCTGGCCATGCAGTTTACCTGAAGACCGCAGTGAGGGCTCCAGAGGCCTTCTTTGAGGTCCTCTACAGCGATTACAGAACAGAATTCCCACCTGGGGGGTGATTTTTTGGTAACCTTAACACCTCAACCATGGACATGAATTCTATTGTAAGCCTCTGAGATCATACCTTTTTCCGTAATTGAGGCCTATTAATTCTGCGGAAAGATAGACCCTAGGCGTAGAGCCACAGAGACAGTAATTGAGATTATGACCATAACTCTACTTTTCTATGTGGGTATCCTTCGTCATGTATCCTCACTGTGTGAACACTCCCCCCATGATGCATACTTCATCTTGTGTATTCTACTACCCTGTGTACGCCATACCTTGGGTAGGCCTACTGATCCCTATGATGGGATTTCGTGTCCGGCTGAGATGGGTCATCCTGGACGTCTCAGGATGCGCGTGGGAGATGTCAGGAAAACTCGACTAGGGACCCCTCGATCTAGGAAAGCGGCTCGAACTAGATGTTCACGCGACTGCTAGGTTTCGTCTCCTAACCTCATGAACCATCGTACGGGGGTGCGGAGTGTTGCCCTCAGCGAGAACTTATAGATTGTGAAGTCCCAAGTCCAGTTTTCCTGACACATCTCCCACATGCACCCTGAGACGCACCCAAGGATGTCCAGGATGACTGGCAGAAAGCGATGGTGCGACGCGTCTCCCAAAGGCTGGACGGAAGTCTTGGGCCTGATTGAACGGAGAGTCCATTACCTTAGCGTTCGTGGTAAATATATCTTTATTAAAAAAAATACCTAAGAATGGGATTCCTAGTAACAGCACCAGGTCTGGGTATACTTCAATTGAGACCTTTTGAACTTCAGCAATTCCCATAATCCCTTTTTTATTTTTCTGTTTCAACCAAGGAACACAATGGAATGAATTATCTGATTTTCTTAAATTTATTTTACTAGGGAGTGGATTTGACAGTCGATTCATTTGACCAGGTTCAGCATTTATGTGTGTGTTTAGATTTATACTTGCCGAGGAAAGATATGCAAGCAGCTACAACCTTACTTGTAAATGCAGTCCATATCTCTGAAATAAGACTATAAGAAAACATTTTTATCTACAGCCTTTCCTCCTTAAATGTCATCCTGTCTTGTTATTTTCATGTTTACACAATTCCAGGTAACATGGGAGATTACATCAACATCTATGAGGATGAAACAGGAATAATTCTAGAGATTCCTCTAGAAAGAGATGGATCTTTATTGCAATCAACGCTTTCCTCTCGAATCCCAGGCGCTTTAACTCTAAGATACAAGGTCCATGAAAGCGATTTATGGAATGGCATCGTATCGGATGAGGAGTATCTCTTTCCCCCCGACGGAGGCTGGGGAAGTCGTACCTACTTTTGTGTATATGATTATGATGTGGTGAGTCCAAGTTAAGGAAAGGAAAAAGTCTAAGGTTGAATAATGCCGATCCGTGATATAATCGAGAAAAATATGCAGGGGGTTGTTAGTTCTTAGTGGACAAAGCAGGTGTTCCATTCTTCCCAAAGTTCATTTTTCTGTCTCTTCCAAATCTTACACCAAGTGATTACGATGATTACTTCATTCAGAACAAAAGTAACAGAAAGCGTACAATATACAGGGTGGTCATTATAAGTGAGCCCAAGAATTCGTTAATAAATTTTGACTGGATTATGAAAATTGGTAGGGACGTACGTTGTTGTCTGGAAATACGTACCGAGTACTGGTTTATTACAAAAGGTGTTGAAATTGGCCACCGCCATTTTGGATGCACAACTGTGAACGTCTGAGCATGCTGGAAGACACTACTGTGATGTGATGGGTGGGATGTCGGCAATGAGTTACGAGATGTTGCTTTTCAATTCATTGGAAGTGTGTGGATTATTGTTGTAGGCATTGTTCTTAACGTAGCCCCATAGGGAGAAATCCAAAGGCGACAGATCTAGTGAGCGTGGCGACCACAATCCTTTCGAAATGATGCGCTCCCCAAACAAAAGGGAAAGGTCGGCTAAACTCTGCCTCGATGAGTGACTTGTTGCAACATCTTGCTGCCGCCATGAACTGGCAATCTCCTCTTCAGTCAGGTGTCCAAGAAATTCATGAACTCTATCAATATACCGTTGAGAGGTTATGGTGTCTGTGAAAAAGATGGCTCCCACAATCCAGCGTCGGGTTATTGTCCACCACAATCCAATACTCAGTACGTCTTTCCAGACGACAAAGTACGTTACTACCTATTTTCATGCTCCCAGTTCTTTCCTACCTAAAGTTATTAATGGTTTCAAAGGTTCTCACTTAAAATGATCACCCTGTCTTTTCTTGTCATATAATGAGTTATATTCCAGAACGTCACTACTGTTCTAGTCCAGAAGGTGGACTAGACTATGAAAGGTTCTTCCACATTAAGACATGCTTCATGCATTGCAGGAACTCAAGACCATCCCAATAACTCGCAGGAAGGGGCGCTACCAAGCGGCTTATGTAGTGCGTTAATCTTTCACCTTCAATTCAACTGCTTCCAGCTCCCCTACATGTGAGTCCCATAGACTAAAATTACTGTCTTACTCTTCATGCACAGTGGATATGCAGTGTCAGACCCCGTTGAGGGGTACTACGGAGATATAAAAATCAGCCCCTCATGGATCGAAATTTCGCTTGATATTTATTGTAGGTGACCTCGAGATTGGGGGCCTTGGGGGTCGATTGCTGGCGCTCTCAGGTCACGCTCGTGGCCAGGATTAGTGTCAAAGTTCACGATTTGCATTCCCTTCTAAAAAGCTTCCTCTCCCCAACCCATCTTTTCCGAAACGTCTAATTTGCTATAACCCCCTAGGAACATAGCACACTAAATGAAAATCATTGCTACATGAACGTGACTGTCATGATCGAGAATTCTTCCCCGCAGATTCCCGTTTTCCCTCGCTCATTCCTCGTTCAAAATCGGCAATAATATGAACTGGTTTTTGGAGGTCATCCCATCCCGCTGGTTTTATTGTATGTTAGGCACGTGGTTACGATGAATGAAATCATGAAAGAAGCGTACATAACCTACCGCCCACAAACACTCGCAGCCGTACAATGTAATAACATCTGATCAAAAATAAGGCAAGAAAGTGAAAACACTACTGGATTCGGATACGAGATTGTCATGTTTGCATGCAGGAGAGGGCAACTCAACTGGGTTGATAGATATCGGCCAATAAACAACCCTCGAATATGTAAACCATTGGTGAGTCGCAAAAAAATGCAAAGAAAAAGGTGAAAATTGGGTGCCAAACTGTTGCCAAACTTTACACTGTTGGTGTAAACATGACGAATTTCTGAAAATTTTTCTAACTAAAATTCTTCTATAAAAATAAAGGGCCAGAGAAGGAAAGCCAGAACACAATTTATTGATGGAAGATGAAATCAGATGCCAACTCACATTTTCTTTTTATATGCAAGGGGAACTACGAGTTTACATTTCGCATTATCAAACCAGTTATTCGAACACATCTTCATATATTTGAAACTTACGTGCCATTATACGGCGGCTTGATTCTGACATTCACATTCATGTATTTATATTTTTCAACTAGTGTGATATGTTCCGTGGGGATTGATGGGTATTTGACGTTTTTGCAAAGAAAGGTTGAGGAGATAGAGATTTTTAGATAGAGCAAATCTTGAACTTTGACGTCTAACTCTGGCCCCAGCATGACCTGAGAGAGCTAGCAATAGGCTCCAAAGCCCTCTCTCAAGGTCACCGACAATAATTATAATCCATGTGGGGTTGATTTTTATCTTCCCCAGGTGCTTAATTCTAAGTTTCATTCTGCCCTATTAACTTTGGGAAACAGGGTTTCTCTGGATAAAGTAAATGCTCTACGTGCACGGAACAATTATATCAAACCCTGCCGTTAAAATCAGTCTGACTGATATTTATATCGGCAAATATGCATAAAAATGCACATAAATGGAAATTTCAATTGGTAACTTTTTAATTGTGATGTGATACACCATACCACCGTGCGATCTATGTTCGTCTAAGAGAGAGGGTCATGAAATTTTTTTAAAATAGTGATACAAATTCTGAACCACCATGCATTGACCCCAAATGGAAAGGTGGTACAAAACATCTTCCATTGTGCTCCACAGTTAAATTACAAATTAAAAAATTGGTTGATTTTGCAAGTAAAAAATCCGCGCTGTTTATGTCTGTATATTATGCAAAATTTGTAAATAATGTATTCTCTTTTGGTTGGAGGAATATGCTCCAAATCATTGTTGGTGTTGAGAGAAAGACTCAGATCCTCTATTTGTCACAAGTGAAACTGCTAGTGTTTGGCTGGCTCATTAATAGTGGTGTGATGGGGCTGTTGGTGACATTGCAATGATGTGACAAAGCCCACCTCATCTCTCAAGTTTGCCTGGCACAAGAAATCTTAGTCAGACTGGTAATGTTTCTCATCAGAGGCCAATCAATTGTGCAATTTTTTTTGGCTGGCTTGCAGAATCTGATAATGGACATATTGATGAAATATGGAGGGGGAAATTTTATTTTTACATCTAGTTGCTGAAGCTCTGAAGCTCTGTCACATTTACATTGGGAGTTATAGAAAGGGTGAACTTGCAACATTCTTCAGGTCACCCTGTAACATGTGACACACTAAAGGTGACATTTGTTGCCATTGCAATTTAGTTAATCATTTAGTGGCAAAGTCTCAACTACCAACATACATTTGTGTAGCTACCAACACTAAACTACTGATTGAATGATGTTATTCAGTGACTTTGTTGACATTTATTTTAAAATGTCAACAAAATACAGTGAAAACTCGTTAACTCGAACTTTTAGGGACCGGGCAATTCGTTTCGAGTTATCCGAAGTTCGAGTTATCAGGAATC